CGCAGGGCTGCTGGACAGGTGTGTGCGCTCCGCACCACCTCGGCATCGGTGGCGCCACAAAGGCCGTCATTCTGGTGGTCCTCGTTTCTCCCGTCCTCGCACCGTGCCCCATGACGGCAAGCTCCGTCCCCGCGTCCACATCGATAGTCTCTCCGGGATCCAGTAGGTCCGTGTCGTATTAGGGGCTGTGTTTTTGTGCGCGTTCGAATTAGTCATCTGTCGCGGCACGTCAGGGACTTATTATCGGCCTTCTCAAGATGCCCCGGGTAGGGGGGAGGGAGGGGAGGGGGGCATTCAAATGAAAGCCTTGATCGACCACGCCCTCCCTTCTCGTCACCCCCCCTAGACCACCCCTATGCCCCACGCCCAATAGACAATTTTAGTATATCTATGTCCGCGCCAAGGCAAGTGGGGAAGAAAAAGAACCAAACCAGGAAACAGGTCTCCGATTCGAAGCCTGCGACAAAGCGGTGGTCAAGGCGGTACGGCAGGACCACCGCCTTGTTCGGGAGCTGTTATTTGTGAACCCGTTTCCGATTTGGTTCTTTTCTTCCTCACTCGCCTGTACGGACTACACTGAAATGGTCCATAGTGTAGTTAGTGCCGAACACACGCCCGAGGGGAACGGCATGGGCAGGCAGCTCTAGACGATGACGAGGTGCTCGAGCGTGAGGTGCGCGAGGTGCCAGACCTCAGTAATCACGGACGCGACGAACGACCCACGGCCCCCGCGGCACACACGGCGCGGACGAGACGGCCCGGGAACGGATTGCGCTGCCTGCTGTAGTGACCAGTGTCCGACCATTCATTGGCGAGGTGACGTGCACGTCGACGTCGATTCGTTTTTCGTTCTGGCTGCTCCCCCCCCCCTTTTCCCACCCCTCAGTGTTCTGTTGGGTTTGCATGTCGCTGACACACCTTTTGCATGTCGCAGACAAACCTGACGCGCTCAGAGTGCGAACCCGACAGTGCGAACCCGACCCGGCGTTACTGACCGGAAAGGGGAGGGGGGAGGGGGTGCTGTGGGTTGCCTACGAACAGGTGATTTGTACAGCGGATTGCGTACCTCTCAGGCAGCTTTCTAAGACTGAGCGTGGGAAGGGGGG